AAACAAAGAAAATAATCAAGAGGATAATATTCAGTCGAGTAAAAAGAATGAAAATAATATAATTTTATTTAGGGGTTGTTTGGGATGATTTAAATAAGTGTATATTTTGTCTTTTTACGAAAAGATGTGCAGAAAAATAGAGAGGTGATGTGATGAAAAAAAGATAAAAAGATGGATTATTTGAGATATGCCAAACTTGGCCTTATTTAGCTAATAAATTATTGAATTATTATTATTATTATTATTATTGTTTTGAACAATAACAAATTATTGATGTTAAAGAGGATGACTTTAAATTTTAAAGAAACACAATTAATTATGTTAAATTTATGAAATTAAATGTATTTTTTAAATTATTTACGTAGAGAAATTATTATCAAGTATCACTTTAATCCTTGAATTATAAATGTATAGACTGATCCCCTAAACTATCAAAATATCTGACTTACACCCTCTCGGTCTTTCAGCTATGAGTGAATCGTCAAATTGAAAGTCACGCATCAAGATTTTAATTATCAACAATGATAGAGGGCTCTAATTTTTGTGGCTCAAATGGCTCGAATTTGTGAAAACGACGTCGTTTTGAGTACAAAACAACATCAAAATTGTCAAAACGACGTCGTTTTGACAAATTTAAGCTATTTAAACCACAGAAATCAGGCCCCTCAAACATTTTCCTTTAATTATTTTATGACTAAAGTATCTTTCGGCAGTGGGTCAATTACATAGAGACTCTCAAACTATCATACAGATCACTTTATCTCTCTGAACTCTTATGAAGTGTCACTCTCCATCACCTTTGAAATATAAAAACGTACAATTTAACTTTTTAACTATCAAAATGTCACTTACACACTGACGCCGTTAACAAAAATGGTGCAATCATCCAATTGTCTAATCTTTCTATATCTTACATGTTCTCGCTCTGTAGTCCATCAAAAACCATTACGACCTTTTTTTTAAAAAAATAAAATAAAATAGAAGGATTTTTTTAAATGAAATCTGGAAGTGAGGAGGTAGGCTAGGGTTTATTATCAATCTTTTTTTAGAATAATGTTATACGAATAAAAAATTTATATATAATGATGTGGTTCATTGTGAACATTTTCACTTTAAAACAAAACACTATTAAAAATGTATTTATTTACAATAATGGTAATGTTACATCAGTATTGTCAAGTTTTTTCTATGAATTTTAGGTATGTGTAGAATTCTTCTTTAGAAAAAATATACATCTTGATAGTTTTTTGTTTTTTGTTTTTTTGAAAAGTGACATTTTGATAGTTATATAATCTAATTGTATGCTATTATAATTCAAGGTGATGAAGTGATACGTCATAAAAGTAAGTTCAGGGGGTAAAATAATACAAGGAGTGGAATATTCTAATAATTCAACATGTTTTGTTAATGTTGTCAAGGGTTTTACAATGGGACTGGCTTCACTATTCAAGTTCGTGAGGTCCATTACGAGTCTTATTTTAATGATTCGAATAATTCATTTTATCAAGCCTTGTCTGTATATCATCTATAAAAAAATTTAAATTGATCCAATATTTGTAACTCTTTCATTTTATATAATTTGTCTCCAAAAAAGTAGCGGTCAACGTGTTTTAAAAATAAATCATTCATTTTTTTAGATACAAATGTGATAAATAAAGAGGTTACGAATATTTGATTGACCTAAATTTTTTTATAGATAATATACATGCAAGGTTCGATAATGAATGATTTGAATTATCGAAACGAGACTCATAATGTCCTTATGGGCCAGAATAGTTCTCTCCAATCCTCTAGACTGAAAAGAAACCTCTCCTTCTTACAATATCCATAATTTAGGAAGTCAGTTTTTATGTTTTCTTAATTTAGAAGGTCAAAAGGATCCTTAACTATAGTTTAAGGGATGCTTAACCAGGGTTCGAAAACGTAAACTTACCAAATAGAATCTTGAGATTTTTTCTTGGTACCATTTTTTCTTTTAGACTGTATATAGTGATCAACTACCAAGCATACAACCATTAGCTTCCCAACATGACTATCGTTGAAACACTTGGCCAAAAAGTTTATGAAAAATTTAGAAATCCCATAGATGTTGATTTGTGATTATTTATCAATTTTAAGCAATATATAATAATCCCAATTAAACAATCTAAACAAATCGACACAACGATTTTACGTGGAAAAACCACAATTGGACACCTCCAATTGTGATAAAAAAATCACGGGCAACAGCCACAAAACAATCCACTAAGAAGATATAAAGGAATTACACATGTATACTCTCAATTACCTAGTGAATCCACGCCTGAATTGAACCAACCTCTATGTGTCTCTTCCAACCCCGTCTTCACCTCGGAATTGTCTTGACGATGAGCCACTCCGGAATCCACCAAAGCTTGCTCGAATTCTTCAGAATCCACCAAAGAACAACTCTCTCTTTTGTGTAGAATAAACAAACAAACAAACCTTTGATGTATGCTTCTTAAATTATGAGTTGAATACTCAATGAAAACATCAAAGAAAACTAGCAAAATATCCCCAGATATAAACCTTAGAACCCAAAAAGAAGATCTAGAGGAGTTATCCTAAATTTGGAGCAACTTGCGAATTTATAAAATCTGAAATCGCGAGGTCCGCTCGAGTTTGGGAATGGACGCTCGAGCGGGGACACTATATAACGTGTTCTGCACTAGGGTGTACGCTCGAGTGGGGAAATGGACGCTCGAGCGGGGACACTATATGACGTGTTCCAAACCAAGATGTACGCTCGAGCGGGGATTTCGACGCTCGAGCGTGAAAACACGGATCACAGTATTTTCGCAGGCTCACCAAACTTCTGGAACTCAGCATTCTCCGCTCGAGTTGGGAAACGGATGCTCGAGTGGATAGGCAATTTTGAATGCATTTTTGCATTTTGCTTCGGCTGTGAGCTGACCGGGCAGCTCGACTCCCGTCATAATCAGCGAAGTGGCAATCTTGAAAGCATTAACATCACAAACGTCTCTGCAAGGCACAATTCGGGTTGAATTCGCATCTAATAAACTCATAACCTCACTGAAATAAAAGTGCGAAAACAAATACAACTAAAAGGAGTTTTGTCAAACGGAATTGCCAAGAATAAAACCTAACAATTTACAGTACCACTTATTATGCCACTATACCCTACTAGTTGAAGAGACTCATTGCCCCACACCAAAACAAATATACACACAGTGGCCTAGCATAAAATTCAGTGGAGAGGAGGCACAAATTAATGACAACATTAACTCTTTTTTTTTTTTTTTTCATAATAAACAATAATGAGATATTACTAAACTTAAATATTAAGAGTTCATTTGGATAAATGTAAATTTAAAATTAAAGGATTTGAGATTAAATTTTATACAAATATTGGGGAGTAACTATTTTATAGGTGGATTGGAAATTTAAACAAGAAGATAAGTTGAGATAGAAATAATATATTTTAGTAGAGAAATTCTACAAAACATACCGCAAAAAAAAATGTCTATTATATGTCGCAATTATGATCTTCGTGGTCTTCAGTTATAACACATTATAATGTTAGATATAATTTAGTTATATTTTCTTGTGTTTGTTATTTTGGTTATGACTATATATCTAGCAATAGTTAGTTATGACCTATTCTGATATTAATTATAACCTATTGTAATTTTTTTTATTATTTGTAATTGAAGATGTGTTGCTTTATTATAATTTATATAGTAGTCATTCTAGTTATGAATGGAAAGAAACACATGGAAGATAAACTCCACATGTCAAATGTAACTAAAAATCCAATAAATTCCATATCTTCATTGAAATTAATTATGTTAGTATATCAATACTGATAGACATCACCATTATATTGAAATTTTCATAAATAATAATATGACTTATCATAGTCTATTTATTTTCAATCAAAATAATCATTATTATTCTCATAATTTTAAAATGTCATTGACATTTCACTTTAAATAATATTTTTATAAATTTTCTTATTTAAAACATTTTCTTTACGTGTAAAAAAAAAAAAATTCCAAAATGCAGGGTGGTGAGCCTGATGTACCGCTGCCACTGTATACACATACGAAAATTCTATACCGTATGCGCATATATATATATACATATATACTGAAAACAACCAAATGACAGTTTCCATCCATTCAATCATAACCATGTCATCAAACATCCAAATGCCAAAACATGAATCCGGATCCTCGGCCGCCCTACCTGGCAGCCCCCCAAAACGATGTCGTTTTGGGGGTTTTTTGTTTTTTTTTTTTTCTTTTCTTCTTCTTCGTTCTTGCTTTCTCTCTCTTCGAAACCAGAGGAGAGGGGAGAGGGAGAAGAGGGAGGAAGGAGGAGGGAGGAGGCTGCTGTAGACACCCAATTTTTGACCGACCTTAAGACTCAGATGTCACCGATTGAGCGCTTGGTGATGTTGCATAATGTGCTCGTTCAGAAGTTTCAGAGTCGCGGCCGTGAGCCCTGCCTCCGGACTTCCGAACCCTCTTCTGTGCTCCCTCCTCCTTCCTCCCTCTTCCTCTCCTTCCTCCCTCTCTTCCTCTGCGTTTTTTTTTGGAAATTTGTCCCCAAAACGACGTCGTTTTGAGGGCTGCCGGGTAAGGCGGCCGAGAATCCAGACTCGCCAAAACATACCCACAGCCATTGCAAAATCAATCAAACAAATTCACAGCGAAAAGCATATAAAGCATTTCCGGACTAAAATCAACCAAGTCCCATAGAGACCTACATGCATATAGACTATAGCTCTGCACAATCATTTCAATCAAGTACCGAACAAAAGTTGGTAGTATGCAAATGATTTATGCTTCATACCCCCACTGGGGGTCGACCCCCAGTGAGGTGTCGGCCCCGGATTGACTCGCCAAAACATACCCACAGCCATTGCAAAATCAATCAAACAAATTCACAGCGAAAAGCATATAAAGCATTTCCGGACTAAAATCAACCAAGTCCCATAGAGACCTACATGCATATATACTATAGCTCTGCACAATCATTTCAATCAAGTACCCAACAAAAGTTGGTAGTATGCAAATACATCTTTAATCATTAAAATAAAAATAAAAAAATACACCCAAAAAAAAGTCAAAAATATTTGTATTCATCTACCATTGAATTGAACCTACCCACCCCAGAAGAAAGAAAAAGAAACAAGAAGAGAGTAAAAGTTAGGATATTAACTGGAAAATTCCCGACATCTCATCCTCTTCAAAAGAATGAAGGATCTGTCCAACCACTAAGTTGCTAGATTTTTTAAAAACAAAATCTATTTCAATCTCTCAGTGATCAATCTCTAAGCTATGGTTTATTAAGCAGGTAACAGATAACCAGGGTGCCACAGTTTTGGCTGTTTCATTGACAGCAATCCCACCACCACGGTTTGTGCGCCCACAATCATCGCTTCCCATGTTAATATCCGCCATCAGCTCCATGGTTTGAAAATCCTCCTCTATTGTTACCACCCCTATTACCAAACTCAGTCCTCCCATTGAAATCACCACGAGAATAGCCTCTGCTGCTTCAATAGTTTCCACATCCTCGGTTGCCCTCATTCCTGAATCCATATCCCCTTCTGCTGAAAACCACACCCTGTTCACTGCAGAGAAAGAACAGCTGTAGTTACAGAGAAGAAAGTCAGATGCACAGATTAAACCTTAGAAGCCATCATAAAAAAAATAAAAAAATTATATTCATAAATAAAATTCATACAAAATAGGGAGTGTATTCCTGTTTCATACGAGGACAGGTTGCATCGTAAACATGTTCTTTCTACCCATGTTATGGATATATATTTCCCTGTTCTCTAGTTCCATTTTTTGAACAAAACATAAGCCACAAAATTCGAGGTTAATTCCCTTTCTTAGAAGATTGAACTAGCATTATAAAACCCAACTTGCCTCTAGAATTAGTAGACCTCTTTTCCTCCACAACCACTTGGAGTATATTAATTGTAAGAGGTGAAGCCTGAAAGAAAAAGGGAAACATATTTCAAACCGCAAAACAGGATATAGTTTGTGCCAAAAAACTGGCAGGTAGCAAGGAATGATAAAAGCAACATTCATTAACATTAAACAATAGAATTGAACATCCAAAATTCAGAGAAGCATGTTAGAGAACTCAGCACTCACACCAATATGCTACGTTGACTTTGGCTCATGTAAAGGTATCAGTATAACTGTATCAGTTAAATGTTTGTTTGCACTCAAACAGATGATTTGGCTAACAGAAAATCGGGTGACCGATAGCTCAGCTCAAATAGAAATTGCTATCGAGGGGAAATGATTTGGTTCAACTTTGAAAATCTCGAAAGGAACTATATAAAGAACAGTATATCTCCAGTTATTCTGAAGAGGTACAATGACATTAGAAGACATAAACCTACTACAAAAGAAAAATTAGCCAAATTTGATAACAAGATGGTACAAGGGCAATAGTGAGGATGCCAGGTTGAAAATAGTGTTACTCATAATAGTAAGGTTGCCATGTTGAAAGTAGTGTTACATGGTGGTCTCTTTAAATCCCCTTAGTGTACCAATATCCACCGGATATTACATGGGTAAAGATATGGATATGTGTCAAACCCTGCACTCGAGTCAATCATTTGAATCCTCTAATATTTAATTTCAAGAATATTCATAAATATTGTTGCTGATAAATAAAAAGTACATTAATAAATAATAGCATCTGCCATAATATTATATTATATATTATACAATATATTTAAATGTTCATGACATGTACACGTACCCATACCTAATTCTTGGACACATCCATTGGATAGAGTTTAGGGAGATCCGACACGTAGACACATCCACACCCAATACTCCTACTCAAGGTCATGTAACATAGGCTGGGAAGCAACAAGAAGGCAACTACAATCATGCAATAGTATGGTTGCTTCAAAAAAGGTGACAGTTGCCACAACAATGGCAGTGAGAAAACCAACAAAGTGCCACAAGTGACTGATGTCGGAAGTGTGGTGGTTGTGAGACAGTCAGAGGTCACCCAATATACTGGTGCCAGCAATTGTGAAAAATGTGTCACTCCTAGTAATAGTGGTGGCTAGAGGTAGGAATTGCGAAGGTAAAAGGTGTGGAACCCCATCAACCACACTATTCCCACTAATTCCTGCCTAGTAGTCATCTTTAAAAAATTCAGCTATCCCTCTCATGTCCACTAACAAAAATGCACTGACAAACCCATAAGCAACCAACCTTATTCAATTTCCTGTGAACTCGTGAAGAAAGGCAAATTTCTTCTACAAATGACAAATAGAGCATATAAACCATACTTCACAATAGAATCCGATCGGAAACCAAATAAATTTAGAAATTGGGTTAAAACTAAAAGGAGAATTGAAACCTATAAATCTACTAATCCAAAAAAAAAGAAGAGTGGAATTGCAGGGAGACATAAAGTTGCAATACAGAATAAATCAAAGAAAATTAAAAGATAAACAAATCTTCAATGGCTTTGATATTAAAGAGAGTATGAAATCTTAACAGACGAGGTCACATGTCCATAAACCAGCCATCACTGCAGGACAAAAAAGCAGCAGCTAAACAAAACAGGACAGTTATCAGCCGGAAAAGGAAACACAAGTCATCTGCTGACTTTTCCAGTAGGTTTTATATAAACATATGGGTTCCACTCTAGCACAGCCATTTATAACATCTAAAAATCAAAACTCAAAATACGATGGAACATGGATTCAATGTGAAACACCCTAAAATCTGAGTCAAATTCTCTTTTTCCGCAAAATCTGCTCCAAATCATTTGCTGAGCTGACCAAACTAGTGTTGATAGAAAACGTTAATACCCCAACAAATTACATTTTGGAAAGCACGTTCCAAAATATGGCACACTTTTGTTCCAAAATGATAAATTTAGCAAATCAAAAATTTTTTTACAATATATTTCCTAAAGATTTTCTTAAGAGTAAAAACTCAAACACAATAAACTAAAATCTAAGGTGAGTGAAGTTTTGACAGAACAATACATAAAAAATGGGTTATAAGCTCATATAAATGTGTTGCTATATGATTAATTCAGAAAATGACCTACATTTTATTGGATGTTTAATTATTAAAAGAATATTACTCTAGAAATACGTCAAATTCTTTTAGTGCAATCTATACAAGTATACTCCTAACCAAACCAAACCAAACTAAGTCTTGCATCCCAATCAACTGGAATTGGCTACATACATGAATTTTTTTTGCTATTCAGCTCTATCAAGGGCAATGTGTTCAGTTAAATTAAATAAATTCATACCTTTTTAGAATACCGCGTCCCATGTCAATTGAGATCTTCCCAAAGTCTGCTTGAGGCAATGTGTGGCCTAAAGCAACAAATTTATATGAAGTTTTTGCATTTATTTTATTTATTGTAAAATTACTTATTTAAAGTATATTTGTTTCACTTTTTGAGATGAAAATTTACTAATTATATCTTTATATTCAAGTTTTGGTAATATATCATGTTCAATTAATAGCGGAGTTAATCCACTTAATATTTCTTCTACCATGATTGATCTAAGGAAAGATTTTATCAATTTCATTTTTTATTTTTGTAAAACAACTATCAGAGGTATTATCAATAATATTATGTAAGCAATTAATACAATATAGCTTTTTCAATATAAATTATTATGCTAATTGGAGTGCTTTCTTCAATTTTTAATTTTAATTTTATTTTATGCACATGTAGTTGCCCAATACTCTCGTAAAACATTGGTTTTATAGCGGTTCTATAAAATTTTCCTTTCAATTTTGTTGGCATACATCGGATCACATAACATGCCAGACGGACGGAGTTCTCGACTTGAGTCAACCTACGTTATTCTCTGAATCCCCCTCACCAACCTCACCATACTTGTTAATAATCAAACCTAAATAACAAAAATGTTGACCATTTGTTATCATGGTTTTCAATCCTTGTCCATTATTCCCACTTCTGCCGTTGCTAAAGTTATACTCTCTATATATTCAGAAAACTGAAATGGAGAAAGAACACGATCACACCCTATAAACTAGTTAGGAAGACCAAAAATCTACATGCATGGCCGGAAAAAAAATGCCAGAATAGCAAACAGTGGCACAATAGCTGAAATAATATGACTAAAAAATCAACATGAAAAAAAGAAAAAGAATGCCACTAGCTTCATTGCTATTTTATCTCATCAAATTGAAAATCAATAAAACTTAAACTAAGAAAAAGATTATGACTCATCCATCTTCTCATTCATATAATGATATAAGTATACAAATGGGAGAAGACAGATCATGTCCAAAAGGCATAGATTAATGTGTACCTCAATTGCTGTTTGCACAGCACTTGCCACCTCAAATTCCACAAAGCCAAAACAAAATCCCTGCTACTGTAATATAAAGGCCATAAATAACTAAGAATAACAAAACCAAAAGTGATTAAGTATGGCAAAATAACTTGACTTGATACATACTTCGTTACTCTTAACTTGAACACCGACAGTCTTTATTGGTCCAAACCGCTTGAACTCATTCTCAAGTAGGGCATGTGTGGCGTTCAAAAGAAGACCCTTTATGTAAATCGAACAACCATCAGCTGCCCAAAAAAATATTAGATAAATACATGACTAAAATAACTAGATACATCAAATATTCACCAAATGTTGGGTGTGAAGTGAACTGATATTCAGCAATAAGCAGCACCAACACTAAGATGAAACACGGCTGCAAGCCAGCACACCTTCACCCTCTTGGTTATTCCCATTCTCTATGGCATCTGAACCAGAAACTGGTGGCTCAGCTGCTGAGGCTGAGGCTGAGGCTGATGCATGAGCAAGGTTCACTTGTTGCTCTTGGCTCTTTGCTACAGATCTCCGAGGAGCAGGTGATGCAGGAGATGACAATGGCACAGCACTCTCCTTCATGTCCATCACCTGAAAACACCAATATGAAGTTACTGATTATTTGTCCTCTCAAAGCATCCACAGGCAGACAGCAACCAAAACAGACTTGGTCAACATTGTCATTTATACAAAACCTCATTACCAATTTACCACACTATGTAATCCTACATACACGTACAAATTACCAGCAACATGTCCCTATTGAGGGAAAAGCAATCATAGGAGATTAGTGGCCTTTACCTACTTAATATATGATATGGGCCAGCTTTTCGCTCAACTACCCTTGTCTCGGTAAGTCTGTTCGAGGAACTCTTTATTTCCAACTAGTTGGTGTATCCGGCTCTCGATCCTAAGGTAATTTAACTCTCACAAGCGATCAATTAATGCCAACAAAAGCATACTTACAATAGAAGCATAAGACTTATTTGGCATTTCGTCAATTTGGGAGTTGGATTCAACCACCATCTGTAAATCATCTGATACTTCATCAACAATGTCAGCCACCGGCACCTCCTCTTCCACAATTGACACTTCTCCATCGTCAGAGGGACCGAGTGCTTCTTTCCCATTGAACTCTATGGAAACCATTGTTTGCTCAAAAACATCTCTCCCGCACAGGAGAAGGATCTGCCAACCAAAGAAAAAAAGGTCTTCACCATCAACAACAAAGGGGAACTATGCTCAGCATGGGTATTGGATCTTATATATTTCCTTTCTCTGGAGTGAGAGGAGCCTCCACATCATTAGCAGAACTCTGGTTTCCATTGTGATGTTTGATGTCCTCCATGTAATGAAACATGTCATTCAAAACAAAGTAGCCTCTCTCTTGTGGAGCAAGGAAGAAGGTTTGAGTGAATTTCTGAATCATGTTATCCTTCGCTGCTAAATACCCAGTTACAAGGACATGGAATCCCCCATTATAAGATTCTTGTGCATCCACAGATTTAATCTCTGTCCTGTATTCACCACAGTTAAGTGACAGTATCTTCTCCTTGATAGCCTGTGAATTGAGATCCAGGCAAACAAGAAAAGAGACTTAGAATTACATAATTCCCAATCACTTCCCTCAAAACTCCCTAAATCTGTTTGGTTGCTTCATGCTCTATGTAGAACTCTGAAAGTAAGAATGAAAGCTATGATGCACGGACACGGACACGACACAGACATGTAAATACGCAAATTTTCAAAAAACAGGGAACACAACACGCTGGGGACACGTTTAATATATATAATTTTATTTATTTATTATATATCTAAATTTAAAAAAAAAAAATATTAATTCTTGTAAAATTACAATAATAATAAAATTAATAAATATATTACCTAAATTTTTTTTAATAAAAATTGATTTTTTTCAAATAAAAATAATTTATTTTATAAATTTGAATAAAAACATGGATATAAATAATAAAACAAAAGGGGAAAAAAAAAGGATAAAAAGAAAAGGGTGGAGTGGAGAGAGAATAAATGAAATCAGATAAAGAGAAGAGAAGAAAAAGAAGAAGACAGAGATAGAAGAAGAGACGAAAGAAGATGAAGACAGAAGAAGATGAAGCCAGAAGAAGACGAAGAGAAGATGAAGATGAAGTGAAGACGAAGAGAAGATGAAGACGAAGCAAAGACGAAGACAAAAGAACAGAGAAGCAGAAGAGAAGAAGAAGAAGAACAGGTTAGGGTTTGTTTTCTCTTTCCTCGATCTGTCTCTCTCTTCCCTTGATCTATCTACCTCTCTCTCTCCTTGATCTGTCTCTGGCTCTCTCTCTTTCTCCTCTCCAACAGTTCTAGGGCTTCTTCAATCCACCTGTGTGTCTGAATCATGTCCTCGCCTGTCCAACCTCGTGTCCGACTCTGAAAAATTCTAAAAAAAAAGGGTACACGAAGGGGAGAGTGTCGGACACGTGTCCACAACGTATCCGACGCAAGTCCGTGTCCAACACTCATACGTAGGCCTCAGGGACGTGTCCATGTTTCATAGAATGAAAGTATAAATGAAATTAAAAGGCTGTATTTGGTTATGTTTGCCAAACACATTTCCACCCACTTTCATGAGTGTGGTGTTTATTTTGAGTTTTCAAATTATAATACCACATCCACTTTTGAAAACTCCTTTCCAGGCAGGAAAATTTGGCTAACCCGGTCTTTCTTCCAGACATCCCCCGAACGTTCGGCCGGTTAACCGAAAAAGTGTTCTCTTTTTCTTTTTTTTTTGCACTTGTTATTTTTATATTGTAAATAAAAAATATTTTTGAATTTTCTTAAATTTTTATATGAGTTTTGAATAGAATTTTAGGTTTTGTGATTGGTTATGAGTTACAAATTTTTTAATCCAATAACTTTTTTAATTTTAAAAACTCAAAACTCTCTCCAAAACTCAATGCAAAACTCTTTTCAAAACTCATAACCAAACAAAATTTTCACACTCAAATCATAATTTCAAAACTTACAAACTCAAAAATACAACTCTATTCTCAAATCATATTTAGAAAACTCTACCAGACGCTAGCAAAGAGAATTCACTTTGTTTATTTAGCTGCATTTGAAAACCGAGAGGATAACAAAATATGAAGACAAAAACCCAGTTTTTTTACAATCTAGGAAAAACCCCAATTTTCCTTGTAAAACAGCAAGGCAACATTTGCAAAGTTGTAAGAGAAGCCAAATTTTCCATTAAATAAATTCTTCTTCTTTCATTTCCACTCTGTTTGCCCTCTTCTTTTCCTTTCCCTTTCCTTTTTTTTCCTTTTCCTTTTCCTTCATTGTTTCCAATAACCAACTAGAGCCCAAAACAAGTAGCAAAACAAACTAACAAATAAACTCTAACATTTTATTAATAGTATCCAGTAGAAGAAACATATGCACTACTACTAATATTTCCAATACAACTAAATAACTAAGAGGTAAAGTTGAACATATTTTAAGTGAAATTCATTCTCGAATCTTCCCAGCAACCAAATGGAGAGTAAAGTCAGACCACAACTACATGGCACTACCAAATCACCTGCATGGTTGTACTAATGATCATAGTCCCATTACCATCAAGACGACCTAACTTACTCATATCAGTGATAAAACCGATGAACAAGCTCCGGCGATTGGTGCAGAATGTGATAGTATTGTTGAACAAAAGCATTACCTACCTAACACAGAGCATGAAATTCATTCAAAAACCAACTCAACTCAACTCAACCCACAGCAAGCTATACATCCAATGACAAAGTCCAGCATATAATTTGACAAAAATAAGCCAAAAATGGACTTGTTTGGCAAAAATTTTCCTCTTCTTTTTTTCTTTTTTTTTTTATTCTTTATTTTTTTTTGTAACTTTTCGGATTAAAATTCAAAAAAAAGAAAAAAAAAGAAAAAAAGACAAAATAGACTAAAATACAAAATATCATGTCCAACTCCATAATTATTTCATTTTTTTTCTTTTACAAACATCACACTCAATTTAGGGGTGGTTTGAGATGTCCTAAATAAGTGCACTTTTTTACTTTTTATGAAATATGAGGTGGGTATGAGTTGGATTTGAAGTGATGTGATAGAGAAATGATGTGACTTAAATAAGATGATGTGACTTAAATAGGATAGTAACTTTTTAACTTTTGAATTTTTTAATTTATGCCAAACAAGGCTTTAAAAAAAAATCAACCACCCTTCCAAACACAAATATTTTAGGATAAATTACACCCCTAAAATTTATGTTTATTACAACTCCTCTCACATTTGAAAAATTACACTTATCCCTTATTAATTTAATTTTATGTATGATGATCATTACGGTGAGGGTAACTGTTATGAAACTTCAAATCTCAAGACCAATCTGTAATGAAACTTTAAACTCAGAGAGGGGATGTAATTTCTAAAAGGTGAGGGAAACTGTAACATAAACCTCATGTGTCAATGTAATTTACCCAATATTTTAACCTACTAAAATAGTCAAAAATTAAAATAGTCTAAAATAACCAACCTCTCAAACAAGGTCGATAAGTACACACAACTTGAGCAGAGACTGGTTATTCAGTTTCCGTTGCCACAGCTGCCACTACAGATGGAATCCAAACTCTATCGAACACACACCATTAACTATTACGCCAGCAAATAAAATGCATATAAAACCCTAAAGGCTTCTTTTACTACTTTCTCTCTCCTCCCGTTAGTGTTTTCTGCAGCGGGAAGGGAAGGAGGAGAGAAAAAAGAGGGTTTCTGATAGGGGTGGGCAGCGGGTTATCCGACCCACACAACCCGCCCGAACCGATCCGAACCGTACGCATATGGGCGGTTTCGCAAATACATTAGGGTAGGGTGCGGTTTGGAAAATGAGAGAATTTCGGGTTGCGGGCGGGTTGCGGGTTTTACCCGCACCCGACACAACTCGCCCACATTATATAATTTTTTTTTTTTTTTTTAAGAAAAAACTGAGCCGTTCATCTAGATTTTTTTTGGCCCAAACAAATCTGGACCGTTTAAACAAACCCTAACCTAATCTCTCAAAACAAATCTCTCATTTCATTTCATTTCACTCTCTCACCGCTGTTGTTCTTCTCTTCCATCTCTGTCTCTGCGAGAAGCGACCACCGATCGGCGATCACACTCATCATCTCAGGCATCTATCTCTCTCAGTAAAGCAACCACTGATCACTCTTATCATCTCAGGTAAGCATCTCTCAAAACATCTTCTCACAGTTCTCTTCTCATTTCACTCTCTCACTCTTGTTCTTCCATCTCTCTCTCTCTCTCAGCGAAGCGACCGATTCCATCTCTCTCTCTCAGCGAAGCACCAATCGACCTTCGGCAACTCTCAGGTAAGTCTCTGTCTCCGTCTCTTTCTCTCTCTCTCAGCGAAACACCGATTTCATCTGATCTGCTTATCTTGTAAAAATCTGATCTGTGTTGATATATATATATTTTTTTTTTTTGATAAATAATGATCTGTGTTGATATTCAGCAAAGATCTGATCTGATCTGCTTCAGAGTTGGTATAGTTGGGTCGATTTAGATTTGATTTGTAAAAATATGATCTGTGTTGATTTAGATTTGTAAAAATCTGATCTGCGTTTTGTTGATTTAGATTTGGCACACATTATATTTTATTTTTGGGTGTTGCTCTTCTGTCTCATATTCATATTGTTATATTCATCACCATTATATTTTTCGCATACAAATGTGATGCTTCTTTGTGCAATTTGTTGAATATTATATTTTTGGGTGTTGCCCTTTTTTCATTTCATCCAGCAGCTTCAAAGTTGGTATGGTTGTTGAATATACAATTTGGAGTTTAAATTTGAGTATCCATCACATTGAGACTAGATTCTCAAATGAATATACAATTTGGAATTTGTACTATTTGTCATGTGAATTAAATAAACACTTCCAATCTGTTTGTTCTATTTGTTTATTTAATGTCTGTAAAATTGATTCTGTGATTGTATTTTTGTAATCCAGTTTAAATGGAGGATAGTATTCAATCTCCCGCAATCAATCTTGTACCTCCGGAATCCTCTAATTCTCAAATGAATCCTCTCTTAGTCGAACCCGAACCTGAACTTGAACCTAAGCCTTCTAGACCCCCAAAGAGAAAGAGTGAGAGTAGTGGAGGGGGGAGAGCACCATCCACAGTTTGGGATCATTTTGACAAAGTTGTAGGGACCGATGGGAAGCGTAGAGCCGTATGTAAATATTGTAAGAAAGAGTATATGGCTGACTCTAGAACTCATGGGACTAGTAATTTGAGGAGTCATACACCAAATTGTAAAGAATATCCAAATAGGAATACAGATGGTCAACAAACACTAAATCTTAAACCGAAGCAAAATGAAGAGGGTGTTAAGGTTGTAGCAACAATTTTTAATTTTGATACTTGTAAAAGGGCTCTTGCGGAGATGGTGGTCATAGATGAGTTGCCATTTAGATTTGTGGAGGGTGTTGGGTTTAGTAGATTTTGTAATGTCATGCAACCCAAATTCACACCAATTCCCTCTCGTCAAACCATATCTAGAGAAGTGCTCAATATATTCAAGAATGAAAGGGATAAGTTAAAGAAGGCTATGAAGGGTCGTAGAATTTGCTTTACTACGGATACTTGGACATCTATTCAGAATTTGTGTTACATGTGTTTGACGGCTCATTTCATTGATGATAACTGGAAACTTCAAAAAAGAATCATAAATTTTCAACAAGTTGAGGATCATAAAGGAGAAACATTGGGTCGAAAAATTGAGTCGTGTTTGATTGAGTGGAACATTGATAGCATATTCACCTTAACAGTTGATAATGCTAGTTCAAATAATCTTACCATTCAATATTTGAAAACGATAACCAAAGATTGGAAGGGGACTATTTTGCAACATGAGTTTATTCATATGCGTTGTTGTGCACATATTCTTAATCTCGTTGTGAGTGATGGGTTGAAAGAAATGGATGATTCTATTGCCAACGTTAGACTTGCGGTGAGATATGTGAGGTCTTCTCCTCAAACTTGATTCAAAAGCTCTTGTATGCCTAGATGTACCAACTGGTGGAACTCTACCTATTTGATGTTAGAGGCCGCCGAAAAGTATGAGAAGGCTTTTAACCAATTGAAGTTTGTGGATTCCAACTTTGAACCTTATTTCAATGATGTTGATGGTGGCATAAGAAGAAGTCCGAATGAGTTGGATTGGAAAAAGTGTAGAATTTTTTTGAGGTTTCTAAAATTATTTTATGTTGCAACCAAGAAATTTTCGGGGTCTCTCTTTGTTACTTCCAATGCTTTTTACAAAGAGATGTTTGTTATTGAAAGCAAAATTAACCAATTAATTTTGGAGGAGAATGATACTTTGAGCACAATGGCAAAGATTATGAAGCTAAAGTTTAGCAAGTATTAGGGGGATGGAAGCAAAATCAATTTGTTGTTGTATGTTGCGGTGGTTCTTGATCCTACCAAAAAAATGACATACTTGGAGTTTTGTTTTTCCAATTTATTTCTTGGAGATAATAGGAAGGTGGAAGAGATGGTAGACAAGGTTAAGAGTTGCTTGCGTCGTTTGTATAGCCATTATGTCACACTCTATCCTTTAAATGAGAAACTTCCAAGTGTGAGTGAAGTTGTGAATATGGTGGAAGACGATGATGATGATGATCCCTATTCTTTAGTTCACTCCCAATTTAATTCTTATTTGGAGGGGCGATGCACTAGTGGATCTAAGTCGGAATTGGAACAATATTTATCCGAGGTTGAACATTTTGCAAAGAATCAAACATTTGAGATTTTGGATTATTGGAAGTTGAATGCAACCAAATATAAGGTGTTATCACAACTTGCTAGGGATGTGTTGGCCATGCCTATTTCTACCGTTGCATCGGAGTCGGCTTTTAGTACGGGAGGGCGTATTCTTGACCCATTTCGTAGTTCTCTCTCGCCTTCTATGGTTGAAGCTCTTGTATGTACTCAAAATTGGCTTCGAAGCAACCTTCCAATTTCTCTTCGAAAAGCGATGGATGATGTGGAAGAATTTGAGCAATATGACTCGGGTAAATGAGAATTTATTTATCTTTATTTTAATTTGTATTATTATTCATTTTCTAATGTAAGTTTTAATAATCTTCTCTTCTTGACTTCTAATTAGGTACTTTGGAGTCAAGCTCATCTTCAACTTCAACTTCAACCTATAATGTTGATGCTATAATTGATGTCAAATATCCATTTGCTCATTGCTAAATTTTTCATATCAACACATTTTCTTACTATATTGAGATGCAATATATAGACATTTGTTTATTTTTTCATTTCTTACTATCTATAATTGAAGATTAAAGTTTATGTTTTTTTAATTTGTTTGTGTAGGGTTCATCAACCAAATGCATGGAATTAGAATTGGAATTTGCGAAAGTTGAATTGGATGTGATTCATGAAGATGAAGTTTGATATCTTAGAAGTATTTTAATTTTATTTCATGGGTTTGTATTGAATGAAGTTTAAGTTTGACAAAAACTTTTTTTTTTAATTGCGTTTTGGTTTTGGATGAATGTAACTTAATGAATTTTTATTTTTTTTTTTGCATTTTGGATGAATGTAAGTTAATGAAGAATTACTCTTCTTTTTTTTTTTTTTTTTGGATTTTTTTTTGGGGGTTTGGAATGATGAAGGTTGAATTTTTAATGTAGGATTTTCTTATTTGGATTATGAATGATGAATGTAGGATAGGATGAATGCAAGTTAATATGATAGAATGTAGATTTTGAATGATTTGTTTAGGTTACGAATTGAATTTGTTGTGTTTTTCATTTTATAAGTTTTAGTTCATTAATTATTAATGTTGGAGCATTTTAGAAAATATGAGAAAAAAGGTCCAAAATAAAGATTGACAAAATGGGAGAAAAAAAAGGTTTAAAAATAATTTTTTGGAAAAAAAGTTCAAACCGCAAACCGCCCGCAAAACCGCGAACCCTATCCGCACAAACCGCAAACCGCATTGCGGGCGGTTGCGGGTTGATTTTTTCCCAAACTGCATAGATGCGGGCGGGTCCAAACCGAACCGCAAACCGTCCAAACCGAACCGCGGACACCCTTAGTTTCTGAGATGATGGAGCTCTGGTTTTGTACTAGTCTTTAATGATCTGTTTTGTTGAGGATTTAGAAAAGGCAAAAAGGAAAATGGGTATTTTCGTCCTCAAAAAGTAGATTTAGGGTCCGTTTGGGAAGGACTTTTTCAGACTTTTTTTGCTATTTTAGTCACAAAAGACAAAATATGCTACTTTAACCACAAAAAACAAAACATCACATCCAACCCATAATCATTACACTCTTCTCTCACAAAAAAAGTCAAAAAAGCCAAAAAGCTCTTCCCAAACCAAGCTTTTTAGCCCAGGCTAAAATAGCCAAAAAAGCCAAAAAGCCAACCCACTTCCCAAACGGAGGCTAAGGTCTCCTTTGGCAATTGATTTTTTTTAGTTAAAAAATAAAAAAATTATTAAAAAAATTAAAAAATTAATAACTTATATCAAAAAATCAAAATTTTTATTTATTTTTTATTTTTTGTACGTTTTTTCGTAAAAAGTCAAAAAGTCATCCTAAACATATTCACTTTGCTTGTTTTCACTTTTCAAAAAATACTTTTTAGAAAATTTCACTTTTTTATTTTTCGTGTTTTTTTATTTTTTCTGATTTTTTTTAATATTTTAAGCAATTTTTTTATTTTTTAGACACACCTAATATAAATACAT